ATAAAAGGGAAACGTAACAAAGGCCATATCCATCCTATGCCATCCTTCCACCACCACCTCCACCCCCACGTGGGCTCCAACAAAGGCTCCGGCCGCGCCGTCGTGGACCACTCCGGCACAATGGACTGCTGCATCCAAGGAGCTCTGCGTGCGCTCGATCGCTGAAACAAACGCCGTGCGTCTTGGTCCGTGCAGCATCTCGTCACCTCCTCTTCTCACTCCCCATCCCCATCATCGTCGCGCTGTTTCATCGTCATCCATCGTCACTTGTACTTGCTGTCTCCCTGGTTCCTGCCGTAAGCATTCCCTTTCCCCGTCATGGACTTCTTTCCCTCATCCTGTGATGCGTTGTTCTTGACCCCGAGGTCGAGCGCGGCCCAGGGGCCTCCAGCTCGCGTACTACACCAAGTGACACGGCATACATATTGTCAGTTGCTCCGGGGGGCTTAGCCTACTCACCACAAGCCCGGACCAGACCCGGACGGACAAGGCGGATTTCGCGAGCTTTGTAGAGCCGGGAGGCTTGCTGGTGCTGAATAGTGCCGCGCGCAGGAGCCGAGGAGCAGGAGCGCCGTGAATACTGCAGCTAGCTTTATTCACGCGTGTGATTGGGTGCTGCTCCTGCCGGCGCCTGTGGCGCGCCTGCGGCTCCAGAGCAGATCCAGGAGTGGTTCCAGGCCGGCAGCGTACTGCGCCCCGGAGGGCAGAGACAGGGCCGGCAGTGCAAGGCAAGCACCAGCGCGTACCGTGCCCCGTGCCGGAGCGTGTTTTATGGACCGTTTCGCGGCGGACACTTTTGCAAAATTATTCATGGGCGCTAGATGCAAACAGCCCGCAGGATCACTCCCCGCCCCTCCCCCTCCGCGCCTTCATCACAACAACACTCACGCACACACGCGCAGGCGCATCAACACTCTTTTTCATTCCAATTAATACGAGCTCGCGCCGACACTCCGTGATGGATGTGATCAGGCCGCCCGAAGCTCCTAATAGTCCGGCTGTACGACCCCCTCCCCTCCTCCCTCCCCGGCTCTGCCGCGCTGCTCCAAGTGAGTCAAGGTTGACTCAACGGAGATGGGGAGTGGGGGCTAGTGCCTAGACGTGTACT